CAACACGGATAGGCCAAGAGGGTATTATTCTAAGTGAAATAAGACAAACAACAAAGGATTTCATTCATATGGGGAATTTACAAAACGAATGAACAAGCAAAACGGAAACAAAATCACATAGAGAACAAATCATTGGTTGCCAGATGGAACGGGGTTTAGGGAAAAGGTGAAGAAATTAAGTACAAATTGCCAGTTATAGCCCTATGTGGTCTGGCTCAGTGGATAGAGAATCCGCCTTTGGATTCAGACTCCCAGGTTCGATACCCAGTCAGGGCACATGCCTGGGTTGTGGGTGATCCCCAGTAGTGGGTGTGCAGGAGACAGCCAATCAATGATTCTCATCATTGATGTTTTTGTCTCTCTCTCCCTCCCACTTCCTCTCTGAAATCTATAAAAATATATATTTTAAAAATTGCCACTTATAAAAACAGTCAAGAGGAAGTAAAGTAGAGCATATAGGAAAGTCAATAACATTATAATAGGTAAGTATGGTGTCAGATGGGTACTAGATTTAATTGTGTGATCACTAGGTAAGTTACATAAATGCCCAATCAGTATTGTGGTACTCCTGAAACTAATATCATATTGCATGACAACTGAAATAGGAAAAAAAAGACCTCCAAGTTCCTGTACAGCCCAGTTGAGGCGAGTACTGTTCATTCAGAGGTAGAAAGAACACGTTCACATATTAAGGCCTGGCAAGAGCGAGGATCAGAATACTGGTTTCTCAATTCTCTGCTAGCCTTTTTGCCCGCAGTGTTTGGTAAATATGAGCCCATTTCTTCAAGCCAATCATCTGTGGAGTTTAGAACATCTGCGCCAATAGGCGGGGGATCAAACATCCTGCACCGGGCAGGACTGCAAGGGAGGTTGCAGGATGGCATTAAGCCCAAAGGCCCTGTGTGGTCAGAAAGGCTGGCCCAGGGTCCATCACCTGCAGCCTTCCTACCACCAGGAAACAGTCCCTCCCTGAGCCAGCCGCGCAAGCACAGTGGTGCAAAAAACCACGCCCACGTCCCCAAGTGAGCACGCGCAGTGGCGCGGGGCGTGGCAGCGCTGCACGCTCCTCTGGAGATGGAGTGGAGCCGGCCTTTTAAGCTCCGCGACCTTATCTCTGATACCTCAGCCGCCTGGCCTGAAGCGAAGCTGTCTTGTCGGGGAAGAGAGTGGTCACGGTGTCGCGTGGTAACAAAGCTTAGGACAGGAGAACCTACATGAGAAAGGACGTCCTCCGGTGTAAGTGCTAACCAGTGGCTGTTTGCGGAGGGGCGGGGGGCGTCGGGAGCGGGAAAAACCTTCGCGGCATGGAGGGGCGGAGCTAACGTGTGATTGATAGGCGAGAAACCTGTGCAAGGGCGAATGGGAGGTGAGTGAGGGCGGGATCTGCAGTTGAACTGGAGCGGTGCTTTGGAGTAATAATAACTAACACGCACCAGGGACTTCAGTAACCCATCTGTGCTAACCGCTTTTTATAAGTTACTTATTTAGTGGTCACTGCAGCCTTATGGAAATGCAGTTTTATCTGTCTCTCCCTTACGCGCGGGGAAACTGAGGGTTAGGGCTATTAACTTAGGCAAGAATACAGCTGGGGTCCCAAATTTAGAAGCCTGACCTCAGAGCCCATACTGTTAATGGCTCTGCCCTTCAGAAAAGCAAGGTGGAGTGGGGTCCAGTCAAGAGGGTTCGGTTGAATGGAATTGACCAGATTGTTGGAGGATGTGCAATGAAAAGTGGAAAAAACACCAAGTAGCAGGTTTTTCCTACAGGATGTGAGAGCTCTGAGGATGGAGGTGGGAGGCTGGGCCATGTCCCCTGCTGTGGGAGCATTGCAGCCCTGCTGGTGCTGTGCCTGGATTAACTGTAGGTGCAGAAAAGGTTTTCTTTTGTGGCTGTGTTGTCTCCCAGGTGTGTGAAGTTAAAGCATTTTAGGGGCTTAAAATGGGGATTGTGCTTTTAAATTGTTTCTGTCTTCTCTGGCTGCCATAACAAAATGCCATACATTGGGTGGCTTAAACAACAGACTATTTTTTGTTTGTTTTTGTTCTATTTTAATTCTCACCTGAGGATATTTCCCCATTGATTTCTAGAGAGAGTGGAAAGGAAGTAGGAGAGGGGGGGAGAGAGAAACATCGTGGGAGAGAAACATAGATTGGTTGCCTCCTGCCCCTACCAGGACTGGGGAACTTGCACCCAAGGTACCCTTGACCAGGACCCTTGGATCTGCAAGCTGATGCTCTAACCACTTGGCACACTGGCCGGGGCCAGAGTTCTTTTTTTTTTTCTTTTCTTTTTCCTTACAGTTCTAGAAATTGGGAAGTCGAAGATTAAGGTTCCAGCCTAGTCTGTTCCCTGTCCAGGACCCTTTTCCTGTCTTGCAGAAGGTCGGTCCCTTTCTTACTAGTACTTGTCCTCACATGGCTGGTAAGGAGAGAGCTCTCTCTTACTCCTAGAAGGCCATCAATCTTAATAAGAATTAGGACCCACTGTTAAACCTTAATTTAATCTTAATTACCCTTTTCATTTTATGTGAATTGCCTCCTAAAAGCCCTCCCTCCAAATAAAATAGAGTCTCATGTTGGGGCTTAGGGCTTTAACACATGAATTTGAGGGACGGTGGGACACAGTTCAGTCTGTAGCAATAGTTTATACCCAAGTAAATAACAAGTGATAATTGAAGACTGAAGAAAATGAACACTTTCAAAACTTACAATTTCACATAACGTCTTATTACCTCATTTAATGAGCATGAGGTTTGTGCCTTAGCACTGGTGGGGAATTCTAGGGAGAACTTGTGTGGAAGGTCATGGTTGTCCTTCAGGCAGCCAATCTGAAGAGGTCAGAAAAAGCTACACCAAGCATTCTTAAAGCACGCATAGTGTATCTACTATTTGTGGATTTATCTAAACCCTTCTTTAACTTCTGACTTAGCTTGTGCTGTTTCTGGAATAATGAGATCCATAATTACCATCCACGGGGAGTGAAATAATAATTACTTTTTCGTTTCTTTTAATCCTCCCCCGAGGATATTTTTCCATTGATTTTTAGAGAAAGTGGAAGAGAGAGGGAAAGACAGAGAAATATCGATGTCAGAGAAACATATCGATGGGTTGCCTCCTGCACATGCCCCAACCAGGGCCTGGGCCGGGGAAGAGCCTGCAACTGAGGTATGTGTCCTTGACTGGAATCAAACCTGGGACCCTTTGGTCCACACGCTGGCGCTCTATCCACTGAGCCAAACCAGCTAGGGCAATAATTACTTGTTTTCTGTATTGTTTCCTGTTGTCATTCCTAAGTTTGGTAAACAAGTTTATTTTCACCTTACCCTGGTGAGAGAAGAATGAGGAAATACAAAGCTTAGGAGCTTGAAGGTCTGGCAGATGTGCATTCAAATCTTGGATTCGGGCAATTGCTATGTGACTATCGGCATGTCACTTAACCTTTTGTTTTAAAAACAAATTTTTATTGATTTCAGAGAGGAAGGGGGAAAGGGAGAGAAAATCATTGATCGCTGCCTTCTGCACACCTCCTACTGTGGATGGAACCTGCAACCCAGACATGTGCCCTGATCGTGATTTGAATCGTGACTCCTAGTGTCATAGATCAATACCCAACCACTGAGCCACACCAAGTGGGCAAGTCATTTAATCTTTCTGTCAGTTTCTTCATCTATAAAATAGAGCTAGTAATAATACTGACCACATGGTTGTTGTGAGGTTATATGAAAACAGTTTGTAACGACTAAAGAACTGGCCTTGCACTAGATATTTCAGTTATGGGACATCCTCCACTGACACCTCTGAAGAGGTTTCTATAACAGAAACCTCCACCTACAGCCCCCATGTGAAGCTTGCTGTATATTCATCAAATTTTTATTGAATCCCCGCTACTTGTCACAGCACCTGGCATGCTGAGTGCTAGGGGCAGGGAAGAACAAGACAGACAAAGTTCTTTCTTTTATGCAGCTTATACTGTAGTGGGGAGGACTAAATGAATTGAGTTGAGTGCTAAGAACTATGAAGAAACTAAATGCAGGGTAATGACAGCAAAGAGTGACTTTCCGTAGAGGGGCCTGCCTGTGTGCATGCACACGTATTTGGAGGGAGGGTGATTGACCACTGTAGGGGGTGTCTGTAAAATAAGGTTATGTACATTAACCTGTGCCATGTCAGAAAAACTGTAATTGTACTTGTAATTCTTTGCCTGTGTGTCATGATTCTATTTACAGGTCTCCCATCAGGATAAAGCAGCATTTGTTATGCACATACCGCCCTGTGCAGAAGTGAGGGAAGACTGCTGCAGAAGTGAATACAGGCAACATCTTTGATCCCAGGGCACAGGTCTTTGAGAGGAAATCTCCAAGCCTCTCGAGGAGGCATTAGAAGGCTATCCAGGCAGCAAAAGTACCTCAGGTGAAATGCAGGGAGTTTCTGTATAAGGGCTTTTGCATTCTGCATTCTTCTAGAGCCCTTTGTGATAAATGTCGCTGGGTGGATTGCATGATTTGGTGTGGCTTCATGGGGATATGCACATGTTGGAGAGAACATGATCTCTTCTTGCCAAATAATGTAGAGCCTAAGGAGAAAATCCGTAATCAGTATTGAGACTGCTCTTAAGAACTGTTCTAGATTTCAAGCCGGTTCTTCCTGGCTCATCAGAGAACTACCAGATATTTTTCTCCCCTTAGGATCATGGCTGATAAATACCAGGAGATCGGTGGCATCCATTTCTCTTTTCCCTTCACACCCTATTCCACCCAGAAAGACTTCATGACAGTGCTGTACCAGTTGTTGGAGGATGGCAAGATTGGGATATTTGAGATTCCTATTGGCACTGTAAGTATGAACAGTTGCCCCAAGAGGGCTCTTGGGAGACCTTGATTACAACTAGTCAGAGGTTTATTTGCCTCTGCAGAGATTTTCATGGTTTGGAGTTGGGCAAAGTAGTTTTCTCAGTTTACCTTTCTGAGTAATGCTCACTTCCCTCTATTAAATTGTTAAACACAACCCCGGGTTCTAAGGAAAATTCGGCTACAGGCAAAGGAGAATTTGAATGGCAGTGGTTCTCCTTTAGGGAGCAACATAGAAATTTATTGCCCTGCCAGGTTGGGCTCAGTTGGTTGAGCATTGTCCCATGTACCAGGAGGTTACTGGTTTGATTCCCGGTCAGGGCACGTGCCTGGTTTGTGGGTTGAACCCCAGTAGGGGCATGCAGAAGATAGCTGATCAATGTTTCTTTCTCACAATGTTTCTCTCTCTCCCTCTCCATTCCTCTCTCTGAAATAAATGAAAACATTATTTCAAAAAAAGTCAAATTTATCAAATTTGGCGCGATGGGCTGGTGCTTTTAATTCTTTTGTCTTTCTTAAAAAATGTACTTTTCTCATAGTACATTTTGAAATTATAACCTATGTGCTCTTGTTTCTTGGTTTGTGGATTTTAGTGATTGGTACCTTCCTCTTGTGATGGATAAGATGTAGCTTTCTTACCATCCCTTTTCCCTGCCACTCCTGATGTAATTAGCTGTTTTTAGTCTATGCTAAGGCATTATACTATGATTGTTTTTTCATGGAATAATGTTATTTTTCTAGAGTTAATAATTGCTTTTTAAAAGTTTGTTCAGTTTTTAATATGCTTATACTAATTCCACACACATCATCCAGTAGTCTCTCAATATGATACAGATTTTCACATTGTCCAAAACTACAGTTGGCCCTTGTCTGTGGGTCCTGCACCCATGGGTTCAACCAACTCCAGATCAAAAATATTGGGGGGAAAGAGCTACCTTGTTGCTGACATGTACTATGTAGTTAGACCTATGACAGTTGCTGAACATGTAGAGACTTTTTTCTTTTTCTTTTTTCTTTTTTTTATTGCTTAAAGTATTACAAAGGGTATTACATATGTGTCCTTTTTTTCCCCCCGTCCTTGACACTTCCCTGGCCTCCCTTACCCCCCAGTGTCTTATGTCCATTGGTTATGCTTATATGCATGCATACAAGTCCTTCGGTTGATCTCTTACCCCCCTACCTCCTGCCCCCCACCCCTCCCTGGCCTTCCCGGTGCAGTTTGACAGTCAGTTTGAGGCAGCTCTGCCTCTGTATCTATTATTGTTCAAAAGTTTGTAATGGAGACTTTTTTCTTATTATTATTCCCGAAACAATATAGTATAGCAATTATTTATATAACATTTACATTATATTAATCATAAGTAATCTAGACATGATTTAAAGTATATGGTAGGATGTGCATAGGTTACGTGCAAATACTAAGTCATTTATCTACACTAATAAAAGAGAAAGATGCTAATTGACCGTACCTTCACTATACCCACCAGCCAGAGTTACTATGCAGATTAACCCAACAAAGATGGCAGTTAAATTTGCATACCCAGGTGGGGCGGGCAGTGTCAGACGCTGCCAGTCGGTCCGGGCCCCAGAATGGGACCCGGGGAGACGGGTCGGGCAGCGCCAGAAGCCACCCGAGGGGTTCGGGCCCCAGACCGAGGATGGGGGAGATGGGCAGGCAGCGCCAGACGCCGCCCAGGGGGTACGGGGTTCCTGATTGGGGACGTGGGGGAGGCGGGGCGGGCAGCACCAGACACCACCCCTGTGGTCCAGGCCCCAGATTGGGACCTGGGGAGATGGGTGGGAAGCGCCAAAAGCCACCCACGGGGTCCAGGTCCCAGACCTGGGAAAGGGGAGGTTGGGTGGGCAGCACCAGATGCCACCCGGGGAGGCAGGGCGGGTAGCGCCAGACACTGCCTGCGGGGTCCGGGTCCCAGACCGGGGAAAGGGGAGGTTGGGCGGGCAGCGCCAGATGCCAACCGGGGAGGCAGGGTGGGTAGCGCCATACACCGCCTGCGGGGTTCGGGCCACAGATCGGGGACGGGCGAGACGGGGCAGGCAGCGCCAGATGCCACCACGGGGTCCAGTAGAGCGAGAAAACTGGTGGCTTGGAGGGCGTGGCTCCCTCTGTCATCCAGCTTCCTCATCACAGCTGTGAAAACTGAGAGCAGGGAGGAGGAAGTCCCACCCCCGTAGAATTAGCCAGAATCAGCCATTGGTCACACAGCTCTCAGCGGCCTGACAGCCAGGACTCTCATTCACCTGCGTCTCAGACCGTGACAGTAGAGAGGTGGGACTATGTCCAAAGAAGAACTGTTGATACAAGGTAGCTCTGCAGCCGAAAGATGCCTGCGTTATCGATAGAAAATGTCTGAAGAGCAACGTGCGTCTGATCTTGAAAGAAGGCGGCGCCTGTGACAGAATATATCTGAAGACCAGCTACTGGAAAAACGTCACTGTGAAGCTGAAAAACACCGACGTCATCGACAGAAAATGTCTAAAGACCCACGTGCCTTTCAGGTTGAAAGAAGGCGGTGGCGATGACAGTCTAGAGAACAGTCATCAACAAGTACTACCAATACTGGTAGGAACTGCCTTCTCAGCAAACATGGAGTACATGAGGATGCAATTCTCGAACACAGTTGTGGTGGAATGACTGTTCGATGTGAATTTTGCCTATCCCTAAATTTCTCTGTTGAAAAACCATCCGATGGGAAATTTACTCGATGTTGTAGCAAAGGGAAAGTCTGTCCAAATGATATACATTTTCCAGATTACCCGGCATATTTAAAAAGATTAATGACAAACGATTCTGACCATAAAAATTTCATGAAAAATATTCGATCCATAAATAGTTCTTTTGCGTTTGCTTCCATGGGTGCAAATATTGCATCACTATCAGGGTATGGGCCATACTATTTTAGAATACATGGACAAGTTTATCACCGTACTGGAACTTTACATCCTTTGGATGGTGTTTCTCGGAAGTTTGCTCAACTCTATATTTTGGATACAGCCGAAGCTACAAGTAAAAGATTAGCAATGCCAGAAAATCAGGGCTGCTTAGAAAGACTCATGATCAACATCAACAACCTCATGCATGAAATAAATGAATTAACAAAATCTTACAAGATGCTACATGAGGTAGAATAGGAAGCCCAATCTGAAGCAGCAGCAAAAGGTATTGCTCCCACAGCAGTAACAATGGCAATTAAATACGATCATAACAGTGACCCAGGTAGATATAATTCTCGTGTAACCGAGGTTGCTGTCATATTCAGAAACAAAGATGGAGAACCTCCTTTTGAAAGGGACTTGCTCATTCATTGTAAACCAGATCCCAATAATCCAAGTGCCACTAAAATGAAACAAATCAGTATCCTGTTTCCTACATTAGATGCAATGACATATTCTCTTCTTTTTCCTCATGGTGAAAAAGGCTGGGGAACAGATATTGCATTAATACTTAGAGACAACAGTGTAGTCGACAATAATACTAGGCGAAATGTAAGGACACGAGTCAAACAAAGGCAGTATTATGATTTCATCTCTCTGTGAGGGACACATTCAATCCTATTTTAAACGCAGGAAAATTAACTCAACAGTTTATAGTGGATTCGTATTCAAAAATGGAGGCCAATCGGATAAATTTCATCAAAGCAAACCAATCTAAGTTGAGAGTTGAAAAATATAGTGGTTTGATGGCTTATCTCAAATCTAGATCTGAAAATGACAATGTGCCAATTGGTAAAATGATAATACTTCCATCATCTTTTGAGGGTAGTTCCAGAAATATGCAGCAGCGATATCAGGATGCTATGGCAATTGTAACGAAGTATGGCAAGCCCAATTTATTTATAACCATGACATGCAGACCCAAATGGGCAGATATCACAAACAGTTTACAATGCTGGCAAAAAGTTGAAAACGGACCTAACTTGGTAGCCAGAGTTTTTAATATTAAGCTGAGCGCTCTTTTAAATGATATATGTAAATTCCATTTATTTGGCAAAGTAATAGCTAAGATTCATGTCATTGAATTTCAGAAATGTGGACTACCTCACGCTCACATATTGATATTAGATAGTGAGGCAAATTACATTCAGAAGATGACATTGACCATATAGTTAAGGCAGAAATTCCAGATGAGGACCAGTGTCCTCGACTTTTTCAAATTGTAAAATCAAATATGGTACATGGACCACGTGGAATACAAAATCCAAATAGTCCATGTATGGAAAATGTTCAAAGGATATCCAAAAGAATTTCAAAATGTGACCATTGGAAATATTGATGGATATCCCAAATACAAACGAAGATCTGGTAGTACCATTTTGATTGGAAGTAATATCGTCGATAATACTTGGATTGTCTCTTATAACCTGTATTTGTGCCTCCAATATAACTGTCATATAAATGTTGAAGTGTGTGCATCAATTAGAAGTGTCAAATATCTATTTAAATACATCTATAAAGGGCATGCTTGTGCAAATACTCAAATTTCTGAGAAAAATATTGTCAATCATGACGAAGTACAGCACTTCATTGATTCCAGGTATGTGAGCGCTCCTGAGGCTGTTTGTAGACTTTTTGGAATGCAAATGCATGACCAGTTACATGCAATCACAAGATTAGCTATTCATTTGCCAAATGATCAGAATTTGTATTTTCATGCCGATGATTTTGCTGAAGTTTTGGATAGGGCTAAAAGGCATAAGTCGACTTTGATGGCTTGGTTCTTATTGAATAGAGAAGACTCTGAAGCACATAATTATGATTTTGGGAGATTCCACAGCATTATGTGTTTAATAATTCTTTGTGGACAAAACACCGAAATGGTGGGAATAAAGTATTAGGTAGACTGTTCACTGTGAGCTTTAGAGAACCAGAAGGATAATACCTTAGACTTTTGCTTCTGCATATAAAAGTTGCGATAAGTTTTGAGGATCTGCGAACTGTAGGAGGTTTAACTTATGATACATTTCATGAAGCTGCTAAACACCGAGGATTATTACTTGACAACAGTATCTGGAAAGATACGACTGACGATGCAATCATCCTTAATATGCCCAAACAACTACGGCAACTTTTTGCATGCATATGTGTGTTTGGATGTCCTTCTGCTCAGACAAATTATAGGATGAGAATAAATCTCATTTTATTGAAGATTTCTGTTGGAAATTACACTGAAGAGAAGGTGCCTGTGTGAACTGTGAAATGCATGCCCTTAACGAAATTCAGGAGGTATTCACATTGCATGGAATGAAATGTTCACATTTCAAGCTTCCGGACTATCCTTTATTAATGAATGCAAATACATGTGATAAATTGTATGAGCAACAACAGGCAGAGGTTTTGACAAATTTTCTGAA